GTGTCCTGTGACTATACTGCCACAGAATTGAAGGTTTCAATATAACAGCATATACATCGCTGTCCTCTATCTCACAGGATCCTGTTCACAGGATATATGGGAGGAGATCTTCAGCTAGGTCTTGAAAGTGGAATGGAGTGAATCCACCAACTACCCAGAGAGTTACTAGGCTTCAAAGATGTAACCTCTTTGGCATGGTATAACGAGACTCCACGGAGTACTATTACAGTTAACCAAACCTATGTCCATAACGGTATCAAGAGACTACCATGATAGGAATGGTGGTAGACTAGTGTCTACCAGGTGGAGGTGCTGTCTACCAAGTGGAGGTACTGTTGGTTATGTATCTCAGTTGGACATGCTATATCATACTAAGAAGTACATTAGTACTAGTAAGGAGCAGTGGTTATGCTACTCCATAGGATAATCCAAGTAGTCAATTTGAGAGTTATCCTAAATTGCTCAGTTGTGAGTCCGGGTAGAGTTACCCTACCTTCGGAGCAGAGTTACCCTGCCTTGGGTCCTGGGTTATGCTACTATGGAGCCAAGTTACCCTACCTTGAAAGTAACTTGTTACGCAAGACTTTGGGAGAAGTTACTAGATTGTATATCACTAGAAACTATATAGGGTGTTAAAATCTCAGGTTGTGTGGATCACTCCTGCACAACCAGTTGAGCTCCGAACAGGCTGTAACTTGGTAGTATAGTGGCTAACAACCCCCACCGGCCTCGTTATAAGTCCCTAGTGTTATGGGTTCTAGCCTGAAGAGTTGTTATAAGTCTAGTAAAAGTCTACAAGTGGAGATGCTCTTGTAATACCGTATTCGCTCATGCCATCCGTCTGACCGGAGGCTATTCGCAGGATATATGAGCAGGTCGAGATGAACCTGGAGAATTGTCTCCAGGTGGTTTCGTGTAAAATGGAAAAGACCTTATAGAGTAATACCAGTTTTAAGTTAGAAGTAGTATTGGAGGTTATTGAAGGCCTAGAGGTAAAGTAACTGAAGTCTGTTGCCTCGAAAGTGTAATAGTATTCGAAAATAGTTAAGGACTCTAAGACACTAGTCCAAGATCACGATAAGACCTACATCTAGGATGGTTGATTGTGGGTAGCACCTATTGGTAGTAAACATCCAAAGGGATCTATGGGGAGAGCTACGTGGCTATCATCGGGAATGAGATAGAATAGAGTATAACAGGATAGATGTTTAGGGGCTGTGGATGCTTGTAGAAGACTAAGTGTATATGGGTAGAGAGTTCCATAGTTGGTATTGCATCAACTCGGACATGACAGTTCACCATTGACATAAACGTGATAAGAAGAGTTTTTACTCCTGCAGTTGCATTGTAGATACAGCAGCTAAAATACTTCCATTGGATAGATATTAGCAAATGACAGGGTAGTCTAGTTCACTACGGAGGATCTTTGGTCCAACCCATTGAGGTTAGCCAGACAGCTCAAGAGAATTAGTTGCTCATGAACACAGAGTAGTAATAGGAAGCAACTAGCAGTATATGAAAACTACTTAAGTATATGCGAGTTCTCCTCTATACTGCCAATTAACTACCTCTGGAGATTAGGACTTAATTGAGTAAAGCTGTGGCTTAATGATATTAAGTTTTACCCTTTTGTTTCTTCAAAACTCTACTATTGAGACTTGGACATTTATTATATTTGTTCCCATTCGTGGAAGAGTTCATTTCAGTGCAGTCGCAACCTTGGAATCCATCTTCCCAGAGGAAGCTCCTGTTATACAGGGGCTGGAAGTAATGGGATGTTTTTGCATGAAGAGATGGTATCAAATGATAAAGAATCTCAATAAGAGACCAATATATTTGCATCTACCCTACAATAACTAGAAGAGTCTAGAACTCCAAGGGATACTACTATAGAAGCCAATGGACTTCACGGAGTGTTACAACTAGATTTCAGAACACGTTGTAGTTGCGGAAATAACTCTCAATACTACAACCATGATTGAAACCATGTTACCCAGAGTAACTAAAGGTTGCCAACTGCGGGATTAGCTGTCAATCCAGTGAAATAGTTCTTGTAAGTTAGTAGAGAGTCCTTCAGAGAAGATCTATCAGTTGTGTAAAGAGTTAAGAAGGTTCAAAGTCAGGTGACCTGAAAAGGTTGCGATTATAACTACTTTAACAGATATACCCCGCAGATAAAACTGACCATTTCATTAATAATGGAGACAATTGGAGCCAACTCAGTTCGACTTAAGAACTAGGCCATACGTCTAAAAGACTATAACAATCTGATAATTACTATTGGGAACAGCATAGTTCCTAGATAGTTATATTGTAATTACCAAAACAGGTGTGGTGATTTTCAGAGTCTCCACATGTTCGCACCTTTGAAGAATACCTGACATTGTGAGTTATAATCAGAGAGGTACATGGTTGTATAATAAATAGATGTAGTCCATGAACACTCAGATGTGAAATATAAATATCAGAGTGCCTCCCAAGCTTTTGACATTATCAAGCAATGGATAAGAGACCTTAGCAATATAATATAGTTTTTACGATTTTATCTTTATCTATTCTACTTCGCCCTTAGTAGTCATAATCAAAACGACTAAATACACACCTTCTTAGACAATCTCTATCTGCAGAAGTGAATCTTGGTTGGCCTAGACAACTCTGAAGTCTATCAAGTTGTCTCCACCTAACAGTAACCAGGTTACAGCCAGTAGGACTGGGTGGTTCAGAAAGCATTGATGAAAATTATCATGTACTCATTACTGACAACTTTTAAAACCTTATCACGATATTTAAACATTTCCTTTCTGTTACCCACCACTGATATACAGTCACATTCCTCTGTCCTAGACCTCACTCTCCTGGATCCCCTGTTGTTCCAGACAAAATTCACTGATTTCTGGATATTTTTACACCAGAACATACCCCAAAGTCCTAGATAATCCACAGTCCTAGATAGATTCTGTGGATTTTCGCTATCCAAGACAGTAAGGTGTAACTGTCCTTAATAGTACCTGAATATGATATATGAAAAAGAAGTGTGAAATCGGAAATGGACTGCCAGTGGAATAACTATCAGACAATGAAACAATAAACTAGAAAATTGCTACTAAAGAGAGGCTAGGAGATATATCTTTCCCAGAAATATTATATCAATAGAATATTTTCCAAACACAAGCAATTTAGACCCATCCTGGTCTCCCATGATCCTTTACAATATGTGATATGTATACCTTGCTTCCATATACTAAATCACAGAAGATATTTAAAAAAATAAAGAAAACAAATACTTGATACGCTAATACTAGCATATCTCCTAAGTGCATATCTGTAAACCTGCTTATCTATACAACTGTCTAACCACCTAACCATATAGCCTATTGGCAATTCATTAAAGACTGGCTTTAATATTTGATGAAGAGTCCATTCACCTGAATTACAGCTTGTCATAGTTCCGGCATGCTTGATATCAGTTCACAAAACTGATATTCTCCAACATTGTCCGGAGCTTCCTTGACTGCACTTAATAGTCGATTGTAGGCCATATTTCCCTCAACTCGATTAATGGTCGCAGTTCGGCCTAGTAGGG